CGCATCTTTCTGTCCCTGTCTGCTCTTGGAGCGGGCTTGTGGCTTCATCCGTGCACCCGGACATCCGAGGGGAGGGGGGAAGAGGATGCGGGGGAGGGGGAGGGCGGACGGGGGGGAGGAAAGTGTACCGGTACCGGTATTGCCTCGCTTTCGCCTTGTTGGGCGTCCTGGAAGGCCCTCGGTCGCCATGGCTGGATCGCTTCGAAATGCTGGTCAGCACGCGCCCCTGGAATCTGGGAAGTAGCGATATCTGTAGTTTTTGCCTTCCTCAGGCAACACGGCCCCCGAGGCCTCCCCGAGGCCCACTGGGCCCAAAGAGTGCTCGAAGAGGAGCCAAAGACTGCACCAGCATTGCACCACGAGGGCTCCCGGGGAGGGTCGAGATGGCCCAGGGAGGCTCCGAGACGCCACAGTCAGGCGATCGCAAACATGGATCAAGGGGGCGTGGATTAGTGACGGGTCCTGTTTCCGCCGCCGAACGAGGCGGCACCAGCCGCATTTTGGGGAGGCGCGCCAAATCCATTGATCGCTAATCCATGTTTGCGCGCCCCCGACGCAGGGCGGTCCCAAGACGGGTCCGAGGGACTCTTAGGATTGCTCAGAGCGGCGCAAGATGGGCCATGAGGACCTCAAGAAGGTTCCGCGACGGCCCGAGGACACCCCCAAGACGAGACCCCCCAGACGGTTCCCAGTCGGTTCCAGCACAGCCCGAAAAGCCCGGCTGGAAATTCACATGTTCGTTACCTGTTCATACGCTTGATCGCGACTGCTGTGCCGCGTCGCCAGCGGAGGCAAAGGTGCGTGTGCGCGCGCGCGTGTGTGTGTGCGTGTGTGTGTGTGTGTGTGTGTGCGTGTGTGCGTGCTCCTTGACGCACTCCTTTGTCGGTCCACGCTCGGCTACTCGCTCTCACCGCCTTCAGTCCTGGCTGGCTTGTGTCACCTCCCGCCTGCACCAGAGTTCCGTCCGCTCACCGCCCCTCCCGCCATCCAGGTGCCGTGACCCTAAGTGTTCTATGAGAGCTCGGCCGGGCGTAGACGCGCGTGCTCCGCCGCTTGGACTCTCGGGCCGGGCGAAAGGGGGGGATTGGGAAAGGGGGGGTTACGAAATTTGCTGCATGCAGCTGGTTTCGGCCTCACCGAGGCGCCCATTCCTCGATACATGGCCGCCTCCGGCGCCGGGAGGCGCCGGGAAAATCAGCTACGTGAGCTGATTTTCAAACCCCCCCTTTGCTATCCCCCTCTTTTGCCCGACCCGAGACTCGACTTTCTACGTGCCGTCGCCGCGCGCGGGGCCGCGACGCTATAAAGTGTGTGTGTGTGTCTTTGTTTTGTGTGTGTGCTTGGGCGGCGCCCCCTCTTCTGAACGCGTAATCGCTTCACCCGCCCCCCTGCCTCGCATCGGCCCGCGCCGCCGCACCGCGCTTTGGCCGCGCTCTTTCGCCTGGGCCGGCTTTCGCCCTTCCTCCTTCGCTGGCGCTGTCGGTGCCGACCCCCCATGTGGACCCTTTGGGGGCGCGTCGCGCCAGCTGGCGCGGCGCCTTCGGCCTGCTTGGGCCGTGCCGCTCTCTTCCCGCAGTCGGCTCCTGGCGGCAGTGCGTGGGGGTCTTGCCTCATCGGTGCGCTTTTTTCCTCCCCCTGGCTCCTCTTCGGCCACGCGCAGAGGGGGGCAGGGGGGAGGCTTCTTAGAAGGACCCCTGCTTCTGATAGGGCCTCGCCAGTAGGGTGGCCATCGTGCGGGTGGTGTTCCCCGACCTCACGCGGTCACGCACAATTGATCGTCGATTCCCATGAAAACATGCGAACATATGGGAAGGGGGGAAGAAAGAAACCCAGAACATATGTGAAACTATGGGAATCCTGGGATTCGTGTGTATTTGTTTGTGTGTCCCTGGGCCCTTTCAGCAGAGGGGGGCATGGGGAGAGGGAGCGCCTCTTGGAAGCACCCCTGCTTCGGAGAAGGCGCGGGTCTAATGCATAGATGCAAGGCCGGAGGGCCCCTGCTTCTGAGAAGGCGCGGGCCTTGTCCGCAGATGTAAGGCCGGCGCCTTCTGAAAAGCGGCCTCTCGAGGACGCATTCCCCCCCATGCCCCCTTGTGCGCGCCGCCAGCTGAGCGACGGAAGAAAGCGTGGTCGTCTTCGACGACGTTGGCGCGTAACCTGCCCGCGTAAGGTCTCGCGTCAGCGCCCTCGCTTCAAGTGTGGCGTGCTGCGCGGGCGGCCCGCATAAGCCACCGCGTGCGGTCGCTGCGCCATCTCGCGTACGACCCTCTCCCCTTGCCTTCTTGGTGCGCGCCGCCAGCCTCTCCCGCGGGCTCCCGGCTCTCGCGGGCGGGCGCCCCAGGCCGGCGGCTTGCTGCTTGGGCCCTGCTCGCCCTCGCCACCTCTCGCGCCGCTGCGCCCTCGCCGCGCCGCCCGCCCCGCCGCCCCTCCCCCCCCCCTTTTTCCGGCCTTTCCGGCCCCTTGGCCCTCTCTGGTCCGGTTCAGCTGGACGGACGTTCCACTCCTACCATGTTGGTGGGACGGGGGAGGAGGGAGGACGGGGAGGTCCTCCTCCTCCGCCTGCTGCTCCTCCTCCTCCTCCTGCTCCTCCTCCTGCTCCTGCTCCTCCTCCTCCTCCTCCTCCTCCTCCTCCTCCCTCCCCTACCTGTGGGGCACTGGTGGTGGAGAGCGGGCCCACCACCTGGCCCTCTCAGGTGGTGCTCGGCCTGCCGACCGCCTGTCCTCGCCAGCCCCCTCTGCCGCCGGCCGCTGCCTGGCCGCCCGCCCCCCTCTCCGGGCGCGGCACCGTCGCCCCTCGCCCGCCGAGCTTCGGCGCGACTCTCCGCCTGGCTGCCCTTGGCCCGCCGCTCTCAGGGCGCGACCTCGGCCGCCCCTGCCCGCCTGGCGCTGTGTCGCGGCCTCGCTGATTGCCCCACCACCTGCCGCCCTGCCAGCTTGCCCGACGCCTGCCCCCGCTGCCCCGCCCGCGACCTGGCGCCCCCCCCGGCGGCCCGCCGCCGCCTCCAGGCTCGCCGCCGCCGCCTGCTGCTGTGTGTGTGTGTGTGTGTGTGTGTGTGTGTGTGCTTGCGGGGTGTGGGGGGGCGTGGGTGTATGGCCTCTTTCCGCCCCCGCTCGCCTTTGCCAGCTTTCTCTCACACCCTGGCCAGCGTGTCGCGGAGTGCGCGCTCGCCGAGCAACAAATGTGCAGAAGCCACGCTGTTCCCGATGCTCCTGCCGCCGCAGCAGCTGCCGCCGCCGCGAGCCCTCCCGCCGCCTGCGCCGCCTCTACCGCCGCTACCGCCTCCTCCCCTCGATGGGGAGACACACGCTGACCATGACCAAGATGCCGCGGGACCTTGTCGATACCGATCTTCGCCATGGTCCCTGCTGGCCGACGCCGACTCGCAAGGGTCATCCTGGAATCGACGAGGATCAAGATGGACGGTGACCAAGGTCGACACCGACGTCTCCGCGTTCAGTCTGGTGGAGAGGAGGAGGAGGAGGAGGAGGAGGAGGAGGAGGAGGAGGAGGAGGAGGAGGAGGAGGAGGAGGAGGCGGAGGCGGAGGCGGAGGCGGAGGCGGAGGAGGAGGAGGAGGAGGAGGAGGAGGAGGAGGAGGAGGAGGAGGAGGAGGGAGTAGGAGTAGGAGTAGGAGGGGGAGGAGGAGGAGGAGGAGGAGGAGGAGGAGGAGGAGGAGGAGGAGGAGGAGGAGGAGGAGGAGGAGGAGGAGGAGTAGGAGTAGGAGTAGGATAGGAGTAGGAGTAGGAGTAGGAGTAGGAGTCAAGCTAGCCAGCTCGAGCGAGTCAAGCATGGCATGCCCAGTCCCACCCGCCCTCCCACAACATAAGAAGCAAAGCTGGCACAACTGGGGGCCGAAGTCACACCGGCCAGCCGGTTTGGTACAGCTGATGCGGCCGCGATGGCGGTTGCCGACGGGAACTGGCGAGCGCGTGTTGAATGCCGCGCACGCATTGCCAGACGAGTCGAGAATGGCCCGGTACACCGCAGGAAGCCAGAGGTGGCCGGAGGAAGCCCGACGGTCTGACAGGACACCCCAAAGCATTTTTGTGAAAAAGCATTGGGTTTTTGATGTTTTTATGTTGAAATGCTTGCAAACACACGGTGTTCGGTAGGATTCTGACATGAACGCGCGAGTGTGCTCTTTGTGGTATTTTTTGCACAGGATTCGCGGCCTGGGTGCATGACAGAGCATCGCGAGTGCACCGCGCGATGACGTGAAATCGCTGGATTTGACAGAATTCTTAAGATTCCTATGGTTTTCCTATGATTTCAGCAAGAGAGCCCGGGCGGGAAATTTGTACAATTTTTGTGAAAAAAACATTGGGTTTTTGATGTTTTTATGTTGAAATGCTTGCAAACACACGGTGTTCGGTAGGATTCTGACATGAACGCGCGCGTGTGCTCTTTGTGGTATTTTTTGCAATGGATTATCGCCGTGGACGACAGGACGTCCATGTCGAGAGGAAAAAATAAGAAAAATGATTGATTTTGTATTGTTTTTTACAGGTTAGGATGGGACCACCCGGATGCGGCCCCTATGGCCGGCCTGAGGGGGGAGTAGGAGTATATTCTAATAAGGAATAAGGATAGGAGTAGGAGTAGGAGTAGGAGTAGGAGGAGGAGGAGGACGGAGGAGGAGGAGGAGGAGGAGAGAGGAGGAGGAGGAGGAGGAGGAGGAGGAGGAGGGAGGAAGGAGGAGGAGGAGGAGGAGGAGGAGGAGGAGGAGGAGGAGGAGGAGGAGGAGGAGGAGGAGGGGAGGAGGAGGAGGAGGAGGAGGAGGAGGAGGAGGAGGATGAGGAGGAGGAGGAGGAGGAGGAGGAGGAGGAGGAGGGGGAGGACGAGCAGGAGGTAGGAGGTCATGGGCAGTGCGCTATTCCTGGTCCTCCCCTCCGCCCGCCGACCCGCCCTTCTCCCGCCTCCCCGCAGCCGCCGGCCTGCGGCCTGGGGCCCCCCCAAAGGCGGGGGGCTCTCTGGGTCCCTGGCCGCGCGGGCGGGCGCCCCATGTCCGATGGCTTCGGGGCGAGCATCCTGGCCTCCTTCAGGCCCCGCCTGCGGGTGCTGCTCTGCGCTCGCCTCGCCTCGGCCGGGGGGGCGCAAGGCTCCAGTCAAGCCGCAGCCCGGGTTCGCGCCGCCGCTCTTTGACGAGGCGCGTCTTGGATTTCGTCGACGGCCCACTTTTCGTGGGACGCTTGCAGCGGGAGCACGCGTCAAATTTCGGAGTGGGTCTCGTCATTTTCATGCTGGCCTTAAGTCGGGCGTGTCCCTCCACAGGAGGAGTCTTCAAACATAGTTAAAAATAATCAGGGGGCGTTTTTCCTTAATTTGTTTAACTGTTCTTGGCTGTTTTTTTGAATAGTTTGATTTTTCATCCAAAATCCGAGTGTAGGGGGGCATGCCCGACCTAATGATGGCCTCGCCAGGCCAACCCGAGTCCCCCGAGCCCGAGTATTACGTCTCCCCGACTGGGGGGGTGCCGGGGCGGTGCGTTGGCCGCACCGTGCGGTGAGTCCAAAGGGCGGCCCGAGGTCGGTGGCCGTTCTCGGGAGACCTGGGCCGTTCTCCGAGGATTTTGGGCTCTCCTCCTCCTCCTCCTCCTCCTCCTCCTCCTCCTCCTCCTCCTCCTCCTCCTCCTCGTCCTGCGCCTCCTCATCCTTCGCCTCCTTCCCCCCTCCAACTTCTGGTGGTGGTGGTGGTGGAGCACAGGCCCATCAGAGGACCTCCCTCGGGCGCCCGGGGCCGGCCCGAGGTGTCCCCCGCGCCCTGCGGCGGCGGGCCGTTCGGGCGGGGTCTTCTTGTGGCGAAGCTCGAGGGCACCGCACGCTCGGGGCCTCGCGCCGCACCGGAAAGAATAGCGAGAGGAGGTTTTTCGCTACTTTCGGCCTCCAGGGGCCCTCGCGGGGCCTCGGGATTGTCGGGCCGGACGAAAGGGGGGGATTGTGAAAGGGGGGGTTACGAAATTTGCTGCATGCAGCTGGTTTCGGCCCCACGGAGGGGCCCATTCTTCGATACATAGCCGCCTCTGGCGCCGGGAGGCGCCGGGAAAATCAGCTACGCGAGCTGATTCTCAAACCCTCCCTTTGATATCCCCCACTTAGGATGAAAAACCGGTCCCCAGGAAAGGGTCCAGACTCCTGAGGGTCACGTCAGGAACGTTAATCATGGCGTCGGGGGTCTGGGTCCCAAGAGATCCGAGGATCTGATTTTTTCCATCCGGCGTTTTTTCTTGGATGTCGGGCTCCGAGGCCCGTTCTCGGGCTCAGGGGCCATCATCCGAAGTGGACCTGGGGCGAAAGCTTACATTTCGCAAACTGGAATATATGCATTACCAGTGGCGGGTTGTTTTTTTCAATCCCACGACTTTTTGAGGGTCGGGGACGACGTCGGGGTGGTGTGGTGTGTATATATATATATATATGTGTATATATATATATATATAGCACCCCGCAATTGCGGATAAGAGTGAGGGGGCGGGCGCGGGCGACGTGGGCGCGGGAGTGGAAGGAATCAAAAAAAAGCCCGCCGCAGGCGCCGAACATTGATTTGTACACTGAACGCGGTTTGGGTCGCAGGTTCTCCACCTGGAACGAATGCAAAAGAAACCCGCCGCAGGCGCCGAAGTTTTGGCTTGTTCAGTGAACGTAGTTTGGGTCGCGGGAGTGTCGCGGGCTCTCCACCTCCACCTGGGAGGAATTCAAGAACAGCCCGCCGCAGGCGCCGAAAATTTTGATTTGTACACGGAACGCGGTTTGGGTCGCGGGTGGGTTGCAGGTTCTCCACCTGGAACGAATGCAAAAGAAGCTCGCCGCAGGCGCCGAAACTTTGGGTGGGTCGCGGGTGGGTCGCGGTGGGTCGCGGTGGGTCGCGGGCGCGGGCGCCGTTTGGGTCGCGGGTGGGTCGCATGTTCTCCACCTGGAACGAATTCAAAAGAAACCCGCCGCAGGCGCCGAACATTTTGGGTGGGTCGCGGGGTGGGTCGCGGGGCGCGGTTTGGGTCGCGGGTGGGTCGCAGGTTTCCACCTGGAACGAATGCAAAAGAAACCCGCCGCAGGCGCCGAAAATTTTGGGTGGGTCGCGGGGTGGGTCGCGGGTGGGTCGCGGGTGGGTCGCGGTGGGTCGCGGGTGGGTCGCGGGTGGGTCGCGGGGTGGGTCGCGGGTGGGTCGCAGATGGGTCGCGGGTGGGTCGCGGGTGGGTCGCAGGGGGGGTCTCGGGGTGGGTCGCGGGTGGGGTCGCGGGGTGGGTCGCTGGTGGGTCGCGGGTGGGTCGCGGGTCGATCGCGGGGTGGGTCGCGGGTGTGTCGCAGGGTGGGTCGCCAGTGGGTCGCGGGTGGGTCGCGGGTGGGTCGCGGGGCGGTCGCGGGTGGGAGGACGACAACAAACAACAAACAGCAAACAACAACAAAGGAGAATCATCACAACAACAACATCATCAACAACAACAACCATTTTAAGACTGTTCGCCCTTATCTGCTCGAGTGTCCAATCACGCGTATTCCCAAACCCTCGATACCCGCCCTCTTCGTCTTCGATCGAACCCCTTCTGGGGGGTATACTTCTCTTCCCTGCAGGCCGGGCCCCGGCAAGCGGCGGGGCGGCCGCGGACCGTCGGCTTGGCCAGCGGCAGCGCTGAGCGGCGGGGCGGCCGCGGACCGTCGACCCGACCCCAAGAGGGACGGACAGGGGACCGACCACGACGACGACGACGTCGACGACGACGGCGACGACGACGACGACGGCGACGATGAGCGAAAGCGAGAACGAGAGAGAACGACTGCAGGGCCACGAAGGACACCAAGTAGGCTACGAAGGGCGACAGCGGGGACACGAAGGAAATGCGTATGGGGCCACGAAGTGCGCGAACGAGCGGGGGCCACGAAAGGCAGATAATGCGGGGCCACAGAGGGCAACGATGGGGCCACTGAGGGTAGCAACTGGGCCACGTTGGACAGTGAGGGGGCCACAAACGGCGACAGCGGGGCCACGAAGGGCACGCACATGGGGCCACAACGGGCGCGACACCTGGTTGCCTGGGTGTCGGGAGCGCGGCGCTTGAGCAAATTCCGGAAATTCCAACGCAAGGGCGCTATTCTTCATTAAATTGCAAGCAAGTCTCCAGCGAGAGCGCGACTCCAGAGCGCCAGGAGAGCGATTCCTTAATAATTGTAAGGACGTCCCACGCGAGAGCGCGATTGCGGAATAAAATGCGAGGAAGTCTCCGGCGGGAGCGGGGGTCCTGGTTAAATTGTGAGGAAGTCTAAAGCGGGAGCCGTTTTTGTTGTAACCCGGGGGTTTGGGGGCACAGTTTGAGCTTCAAGATTTTCTTTGATAGGGAACAGGTTGCGAGCGCCGGGAGGGTCACTTCAATTGAAAAATGCAATATGCACCGGAGGGGGGGGGTCAACAATTATTATTCTTCAGTCGTGAAAGTTCAACAACAACAATAACAACAACAAAAATAATCCGCATCGCGGAGTTCCACTTCAGCCACGCACCCAGGGACAGTGAATGACCGTTCGGCTCAGCCCCCTCACTCTGACTTTTCCTATGTTTTCCAAGGGAAGCAACGAAACATGTATACACCAGGATACCGTATACACCAAGATCCGCGTTCCTGTGCGAATCAGCGCAGGGTCGGAAAAAGCGTCGGGGTATAGAGTTCGTTTCCCTAGCACTCGTGGAAGGGGTCGAGGCCGTCTCCAGGATGGCCTCCAGAGGGGGGGCATGAGCTGAAGTTTCGATTTCTCTCTGCCCCATGCAGCTGCTTGGAGGCTTCAAGAAGGCGCCAGGACGGCCCCGGGCAGGCTCCAGTGGGCGCCCGAGGCCCCAGACGAGCGCCCCGAGAGGCCGCAATCTGTGATTTTCCTTAGTTTTTTCAATGTTTTTAGGCTCCTCCACTCTTCAAGCGTCCGACAATCCACGACGGCCCAAGAGGCCTCCAACACCGCCTCAGGACGGGCCCAGAGACGCCCAGGAGGGCCTCGGGACTGCCTAACAGGGCTCCTTGACGGCCCCAGGGGCACCCGAGACGGCCCACGAGGCCCTAAAGACGGCCCCAAGATGGCCTCCAGAGGGGTAGCATGAACCGAATCTTTCGCCCCAGTAGGCTCCCAAGAGGCCCAAGAAGGCTCCCAGATGCTGCCACGGGGCCCCAAGAGGACAACAAGAGGCCCCCACGACGCTCCAGAGGGCTCCAGATCCGGCCCCAAGAGGCCAAACAACAGCTCCCAGAGGGCCCCGCGACGCCTCCTTCGACATCCCGCCTTCCTTGCCCTCCCTGTCCTACCCAGCTCCTACCGTTCATGGTTCGTTGCCTTACGCCTCCCCTATCTCACTTCGCAGCCGCACCACCCTGGCAACATATCCGAATGGCTCAGTCTGGCTGTCCCTCGGGCTTTGCAGTAACCTTTGAGGTACCCTGGCAACCTCCACGAGGACTTAAATACGGCCCCACACACCATGTTCCCGGTTGCTTTCGGGAAACATGATTGTCACCGCCGGTCCGGCAAGGCGGCCGAAGATGAGGAGGACGGTCTGTGCCGTCCCACCGAACACCCCAATTCAGTGCAGCGCCTTGCCAAGGCCTTTCCAGCCCCTGCCGCTCTTGAGTCGAAGCCTTGTGCCTTCCCCATATCTGTGCCAAGCTTCACCACCATCTCAACCTTTGCGCATGTTTCCACCGTCCCGTCCTTCGGGCTTTGCAGTCTCGTTTGGATAATTCTGAAACCGACGGCCCCCACGCGGCCCAGCCCGTCATGTTCCCGGAGAGGCTTCGGGGAACGTGATTGTCGCCACTTTTCCGACTAGGAGGACTAAGAGGAGGAGTGGTGGAGGAGGAGGAGGAGGAGGAGCAGGAGGAGAAGGTGGAAGAGGACAAGGAGGAGGAGGAAGAGGACGAGGAGGAGGAGGATACGGATCAGGAAAAACAGCAAGAAACGATTCACACTGAGACTATCATCCTGATCATCATAATACAGATAGTCCTGATGAGAAGAAGAGCATACCACTATTAACAATCCCACTGTTACTGTTGTTATTAGAAGCATCGTTACTACTGACAGTACTCATTCGAATACGAATGCTACTGACAAGGTTACTAAGAACACTACCATGAAGAACAGTGATACAACTACTCTTTATAAACTTCGAGTATTAATCGTAATAGGCGTATGACGATCACGAATAACATTAATAGTGCTTATGACATTACTGATACGAGCAGTGCGAACAATAATACGAAAACGAATACTCATAACATGAACGCTCTTCATGATAATGCGAATGCTTAGATTAGTAATGAGAAGGGGAGGAGGAGGAGGAGGAGGAGGAGGAGGAGGAGGAGGTGGAGGAGGAGGAAGAGGAGGAGGAGGAGGATAATGAGAAGGAGGAGGAGGAAGAGGAGGAGGAGGAGGAGGAGGAGGAGGAAAAGGAGGAAAAGGAGGAGGAGGAGGAAGAGGGGGATGAGGAGGATGAGGATGAGGAGGAGGAGGAGGAGGAGGAGGAGGAGGAGGAGGAGGAAGAGGACGAGGGGAAGAGGAGGAGGAGGGGGAGGAGAAAAGGAAAGAAAACGGCAAACAGAAACCCACGCAGGCTACAATGCTGCCCCAGGGGCGCTCAAGACGGCCCAAGATGGTCAACGACAACAGGCCCAGAAACGTCCCTCAAGAGGCCTCCGCGCGGCCTCCGTCACCGTCCCACCGAACATCTTAGAGAGTTTTGACACAGAATCCAGGACGGCGGCGGGATGGGCCGTTAACCATTATGGTCGCTGTCGTGGCCCGCCGCGGTCTTTCTCACCCTCCCCGTCGTTGCCGTCCCATCTCCAGCCGTCTTTGCTTTTTCATGTCGCACCTCCTCCATGTCAGTTCTAAACCAGCACCCCAAGATTTTTCTAATGATTCCGTTGGGCCGTCTTTCCGGCTTTCGAAGTTAAGTTGGGGTATATTGGAGCCCTCCGTCCACCAGGGCCCCAATACGGCCTGCACAATCATGTTCCCAGAGTGCTTCCGGGGAGCACAATTGTCGCCGCCAGTCCGGGGAGGAGACCGAAGAGGAGGAGAAGAGTCCGCGCCATCCCACCGAGCCTCCCAATTATGAGTAGCGTTGCCCAAGGGCCTGTTCACAGCGGAACCGAGGTCGTGCCCGCGGCCCCGCCGCTGCAAGTGGATCTCGCCGTAGGCAGTACCCCCCCCCCGCTACGTCTCGCATTCCTTGCCGTGGCCTTCCAGCTCCTGCCGTTCTCGTTTCGTAACCGGGCGCCTCCCCATCCCCCCGCCGAGCTCAACCGCCATGCCGACATTCGCACATGTTCCCACTGGGCCGTCCTTCGGGCTCTGCAGCCTCATTCGGGTAACCGTTGAAATGGGGCCCCCAGCGCGGCCCGCGCCACCCTGCTCCCGGAGGGCTTACTGGGAACGCGATTGTCGCCACTAGTCCGACGAGGAGACCGCAGAGGAGGAGGAGGACGAGAACGAGGAGGAGGAGGAGGAGGAGGAGGAGGAGGAGGAGGACAGGAAAGCGGCAAACGGAAACAAAACATGAGGCAACAAATAACGGTGAGCTAGACGACAACAGCGAGGATGCCGGCCCGCGCGGGCCCCAAGGCGGCCCAGAATGGCCAGACACATAGCCCTAGAAACGGCACCCAAGAGGACCCCGCGCGTCTTCCGTCAACATCCCACTGAACATCCTAGAAACAAGGACGGCGGCGGCATGGGCCGAACCCTATTCCGGTCTGTGTCGTGAGCCCCCCCCACGCTCTTTCTCACCGTCTTCCGCTTGGCTTTGCCAGCTCCAGCCGTGCTGGCTTTGTTACCTCACACCTCTTGTCATTTCCAAGCTCCACACCCTCCCCCCCCTTCCCACGGTTTTTCGACTGATTCCACTGGGCCGTCCTGCAGGTTTTGCAGCCTCATTTGGGGCGAATGGCGGCGACAATAATGTTCCCGGAAAGCCTGCCGGGAACATGATTGTCGCCGCCAGTCGAAAGCGGAAGAGGAGGGCGAGGAGGGGAGGAGGAGCGCGGAGGCAGAGCAAGCAGGTGAGGAGAACGAGGAGGAGGAGGAGGAGGAGTAGCAGGATGAGGATAATGAGGAGGAGGAGGAGGAGGAGAAAGAGACGGAGGAGGAGGAGGAGGAGGAGGAGGAGGAGGAGGAGGAGGAGGAGGAGGAGAAAACACATCAAGAAACAAGAGAAAAGGAAGGATGAGGAATGCCGACTCATTCGTTGATTCATCCCTTTTTCCATTTCCCGTCTTTTCCTTTTTTGCTGCTTCTGCCTGTCTGCTTCCGTTGTTCCCTACCTGCCTCCCTCCCGCCCCACTCCTTCTCTCCGTCCTTCCCCTTCCTCCAGCCGCGACCACGACGACGACGGCGGCGACGGAGCCGACGACGACGTCGACGCCGTAGTAGGATCAGGATGTAGTTCGTGAGGCGGCGGATGAGGATGAGGTCTTCGGAGTTAACCAGAACCGAACAGAGCGCGCGTAACGAGCGCGTGGCTCTACTATTTTGAAATGTAATTCTGTACACGCAGACCTCTGGTTCGGCGAGCATGTAGTGAGGCCGACTGATCTTTTGACAGTGGGGCCGAGGGATGTACGGTGAGGCCGATCGAGTTGGACATCGGCATTTGCAGCCGCATGCGCGTGCATTTTGATCGACATGTAGATCCAGATCGCCTGACTTAGGGATCGCGTTTACGATCCGGCGCCACTTGCAAGCCGAGCGCTGCACCTCTCCCCGCCCTCGCAGCCTCTGTACCACGTGTCACCCGAAGGCTGGTCTTACCGACCTCTCCCTCTCTCTCAGGAGGGGAAAAACACACAGACATAATTAATCGTCGATTCCCCAGAAACTCTGGGAAAATATGGGAAGTGGGGGGAAGACGAAAAGCTAGAAAAGATGGGAAAATATGCGGGATCTTCTTATCTGTGTGTGTGGTTATTTGTGTGTTCCAGGGCCCCTTCACTCTCGCTCTGTCCGTTTCCCGCCCGTGTTCCCACCTGGCCCCGTTTCCCCCCCCATTCCCCCCCGCGCAGGAAGTGCCTCGGACAGTTCCTGCGGCTCAGCGCACCGACCCCCTGCGTGGAGGTGACGCGGCTGCTGGTGGAGCTGCAGTTCACCCCGCGCCAGGCGAGCGGGGAATCGCATTTTGTGGCTCGCACTCCCTCAGGAGGAACAAAAAACACACAGACACAATTAATCGACGATTCCCCAGAAAATATGGGAAAGTATGGCAAGTGGGGGGGAAGACAATCATCCAGAACATATGGGAAGATATGGGGAATCCTGTTATTTGTGTGTATTTATTTGTTTGTCCCAGGGCCCCTTGATTCTCCTCCTCCCCGCTATGGCCAAACAGCGCAAAGCTTCGTACTGCAGGTCCATGCGGCGATGGCGCGCCAGCGACGGTGGCGAAGGCATGCAGTGTTGAATTCCGCACGGTGAGCGACGTGGAGGCACCGAGGGACACGCTGGACTCGATCTTGAACGGTCGGGCCCGCGATCGGTTCAAGGCCGAACGGTCGACGCGGTGTCAGACACCTTTGCGCGCGCCGACGCCGCACGAACCTACCATAGACATGAACTTTCGGAGGTGACCGTCTTCTTATTAATCGCTTCGCTCATTCCGCCGGCCCATATTGTCGCACCGTTGTGGGCTAGCCGAGTTTTGGGGCCTCTTGGGGGCCGTTTTGGGGCCTCTTGGGGCCTCTTTTGGGCCTCTTGGGCGCCTCTTGGGGCGTCATTGGGGGCCTCTTGGGGGCCTCTTGGGGCCTTTTTGGGGCCTCCTGGGCGCCTTTGGGGCGGAGGGCTCGATTTTTCAGTTCTCGGTTCCCCTCTTCAGCCCCTCTTGGGCCCGTCTTGGGGCCTCTTGGTCCGTCTTGGGCGGCACTTGGGCCGTCTTGGGGGCCCTCCTGCGCCGTTCCGGGGCCGTCTTGGGAGCCTCGTGGGCCGTCTTGGAGCGGTCTTGGGGGCCTCTTGGGCCGTCTTGGAGCGTCTGGAAGCCGAAAAAGCCAGAACGCAAAAAACATAGAAAAAACAATGAAAATCAACGATTTTGGCCTCTTGGGGCCCTCTTCGGAGGCCTCTTGGAAGGCCCTTGGGGCGTCTTGGAGGCCTCTTGGGCTGTCTTGGGGCCCTGTTGGGCGTCTTCGGGCGATCTTTGGCCGTCTCGGGGCCCTCTTGGACCGTCTTGGAGGCTTCTTGGGGACCTCTTGGCCCGTCCTGGGGCCCTGTAACAGAACTCCGGCATCTCTGGCCCGACCTTGCCGGGGACTTGCCGGGACCTTGCCGGGGTACTTTTCGTCCGGGGACCCCCAGGGGCCGCCCCGCGCGCGCGAACTAGAAATATTGTTAACCAGGTACCGGAGATCTTAGCACGCCCTGGCCCGTTGGGCCGGCGAATTCTGCAGTGTTGAATTCCGCACGATGAGCGACGTGGAAGCACCGAGGGACACGCTGGACTCGATCTTGAACGGTCGGGCCCGCGATCGGTTCAAGGCCGAACGGTCGACGCGGTGTCAGACACCTTTGCGCGCGCCGACGCCGCACGAACCTACCATAGACATGAACTTTCGGAGGTGACCGTCTTCTTATTCATTGTTTTGCCGATCGGCGGCGGGCCCTCGCAAACTCTCCCCCTCGTGGACTAGATCTTGGCTGTTTTGGGCGCCCTCTTCGCGCAGGTGGATCCTACCCCCCCCTAGGACGCACTGTTGCAAGCGGTCGCGCGTTAAACCAGAGGTCCGGAGCCAGAACCCTGCCGAAACGCCGAATGACCCTCTACAGGAGGACTCTCCAAGAATGGTTAAAACATATTCTGGTGACGATTTGTCCATTATGTCCGACTGTGTTTGAGTATAGTTTGACTCTCTTTAAGTTGTCCTCGAAAGTCCGCCTGTAGGAGGACATGCCCGACATAACCTCAGGTCCTTCCACCCACTGCCGAAACGCCGAATAAAATCACGTTGACGAGGTCCGCGCGGGTCTCCTCGATCGGCCCTGGGGCCCCCTTTTCCCAGAGGCGCGCGAGGCGTGCCGGGGGCGGCGCTGGAGGCGCCGCCCGGGGCGGGGGGAGGGGCCGGCGCCGATCTGAGAAGTCCGCGCGGACCTCCGAACGGTTAACCTGATCATGTCGTCGCTTTCTTGCCCATTGTTTTGCCGATCGGCGCGGGCCCTCCCCCCCCCCCCATGCAGTGGATCTTGGCTGCTTTTGGGGCACCTGCTTTTGGCACCTGTCGAAACGCCGAAAAAGAAAACGTTCACATTTTTTTTGCAGCAGTCGAAATTCAAAATGAGGACGCACCCTCAGGGTCTCCTTGCGTCCTTGCCTCTGCGGCCCGTGCTTCGCGGTTTTCACTGGCCAGCCGCCCAGGGTGTTGGCAGCCCGCCGCCCAAAAAGTGCCAACTTCGGCTTCCAAGGCCATTGCGTCCTTACCGCCCGTCCTTGTTTCAGATTTTTTTGACTGTATTCCAGCGTCGACGCAGTGCTGAGCCCCCTGTTCTCCGATGCTTTGGGCGTTCTGTCGTCTGCGCTGTCGCTGCGCTTGGGGCCTCGGTTCGCCATCCCAGGGCCACGGCTAGGCAGCGGCGAGCGCAGCTCCGAAGGATCCAGCCCGGCCGACAGATTCATGTCAGGAGGGGCAAGTGTGTGAGATTATGCGCCCGCCCTGGTCCTCTGCCTCCTCCTCCTCCTCCTCCGCGCCCTTCCTCTTCTCTGCTCTTCCTGCTGCCTCCAGTTTCTGGGTTGCAGCCCCTGGGAGGTTAACTTCAGCATCGGCGCTGATGTAGACGTGGTCGAGATCCGGCCCACTCCCGCTTCATCGGGCCGAATCCCGCTCTGTCCCGCTCGACCTGGCGCAATCCCCATGAATCCTGGGCCGGATCTTGCTCAACAGCCCCTCGATCGGGCTTGGTAGCTCTGAGCGCGCCCCCATAGACCCCGCAGTTGTTGACTCCCAGCTCCCTCCCAGAGCGTGGGCGGAATGGCTCCTCATCTTGTCCCTCCTTCCTTCTCGCTCACCTCCTCGTCATGAGCGAGTCAGGAGCGTGGTCTGCTCCCCTTGGTGTCTCTACCTCTTGGGGGCGAGGGGGGTGGTGCCACGAGGCTTCGCCGCGATCGGGGGCATATGGTTGGCAAGCTGCTGCTCTTGCTCGAGACAACGAAACAGGTTCAGCCAGACGTTTATTCGCCCACGCCAGAAGAGGCCAGCTGAACATCCGCGTAAGCGAGCTGAGGAAGACCGAGGGCCGTCACGCCAGCGAAGTGCGGGACTCCCCCCCCATGCCCGCGAGAAGCTCATTACCCTGATTGGGTTCCCTCAGACCTTGGTGCCCTAGTACTAGTACCCGTAATCATATCACAGGTTCACGCTTTAGAAGCCACGAGGCCAAATGAAAAACGACAGTCCCGCGCCTCCGAGGCCACGGTGGGCGTGGGCGTCCACTAGGCTTCCGGAGCCACAAGTGTCTTTTTGTGAGAGGTGGCAGAAGTTTTGAGAGCGAATGTATTAGTCTGAGCCGCGGGGCTTCGGCCCGCCGGCTCCCACGGCGATGATGAAAGCAGCTCGACCTCGCGACGGCCTCGGTGCGCCGTCGGCCATGGACGGAGTCCACGGAGAGCAGAGGAAGGGCGCGAGATGGGGAACAAGGAGGAGGAGGAGGAGGAGGAGGAGGAGGAGGAGGAGGAGGGTGATGAAGGGTGCTGACAGGCGAGCAGGAGGAGGAGGAGGAGGAGGAGGAGGAGGAGGAAGAGGAGGAGGAATGGGATGATGATGATGATGATGATGATGATGATGATGATGATGATGATGATGATGATGATGATGATGATGATGATGATGATGGTGATGGTGATGGTGATGGTGATGATGATGACGCTGATGATGATGATGATGATGATGATGATGATGATGATGATGATGGTGATTGTGGTGGTTGTGGTGGTGGTGGTAGTGATGGTGGTGGTGATGGGGGTGGTGGTGGTGAGGAGGATGATGATGATGATGATGATGATGACGACGACGATGATGATGATGATGATGATGATGATGATGATGATGATGATGATGATGATGATGATGATGATGATGATGATGATGATGATGATGATGATGATGGTGATGCTGTTGCTGCTGCTGCTGCTGGTGATGCTGCTGGTGATGATGGTGGTGGTGGCGATGACGAGGACGGAAAGAGCGTGTTCTGTGGTCGCTTGGAGGGAGGGGGTCTGGAACCAGACATTCCCCCCTCCCCCTGGATGGAGGATGGAGCGGGGGGGACCCCCCCCCCCCTTCCTCCCTCTCCTCTCTCCTCGGGCCGGCGCCTGCGTCGGCGGCGGCTGGCGGCGGCGGCGGCGGGGACGACGATTTCGTTTTCTGGGCCGGCAATTGCGCCTGCTGCGGCGGGCGGCGGCGGCGGGGAGCGTCGACGAGGACGACGGTGGTGGTGGTGGTGGTGGTGGTGGTGGGTTGTGGTGGTGGTGGTGGCGGTGGTGGTGGTTGTGGTGGTGGTGGTGGTGTGGTGGTTTGTTGTGGTTGTGGTGGTGGTGGTTGTGGTGGTGGGTGGTGGTTTGGTGGTGCTGGTGGTTTGGTGGGGGTGTGGTGGTGGTTTGTGGTGGTGGTGGTGGTGGGTTGTGGTGGTGGTGGTGGTGGTGGTGGTGGTTTGATGGTGGTGTGGTGGTGATTTGTGGTGGTGATGGTGGCGGTGGGCTGTGGTGGTGGCGGTGGTTTTTGGAGGTGGTGCTGCTGGTGGTGGTGGCGGTGGTGGTGGTGGTGGTGGTGTGGTGGTTTGTGGTGGTGGTGGGTTGTGCTGCTGGTAGTGGTGGTGGTTTTGGCAGTGGTGGTGGTGGTGGTGTGGTAGACTGTGGAGGTGGTGGTAGTAGTGGTGTTTTTTTTATGGTGGTGTTGGTGGTCATGGTTAGTTGTGGTGGTGGTGGTTGTGGTGGTTGTGGTGGCCGTGGTGGTGGTGGTAGTGGTTGTGTAGTGGGTTGGTGGTGGCGGTGGTGGGTTGGGGCGGTGGTGGTGGTGGTAGTGGTGGTGGTGGTGGTCATGGTGGTAATCGTCGCTGCGTCCCCGCCGTCGCTGGCGCCGGCGCAGGCGCTGCTGGCCGCCGTCGGCGCCGGCGCCAGGGGG